GGGCGAGCGGGGCGCCCTGCCAATTTTGCGCCGCGCCGCCTGCTGCAAAATGGAGGCAGGAAGGGATCCATTTTCATCGAGGAGATGACAGTGCTTCAGTCTTCCTGACCATCTGGAGAGAGGCACGACCGCATTGTAAATCAGAAATCGCTCGCATCGACTTTTTGGGGGGGGGGTGGTTCATTTCAGTTTTAAACCAAACGGAAGCGAAGGGTGGTTTTTCCTAAAAAAAAAAAAATAAATAAAAGCAGATATTTCCTAAATTGCAAGTTGCAGAAAGCTCCGGCGCGGCGCTAAACGAATGCAAGCGAACGAGCGTTTTGGCACGCGCGCCGAGTTTACGGCACGGACAAATAAATAAGCCTGAGGAAGGGGGGAGCGTTTCCCCCGATGTGCACACCCGCTGTGTTGGTGGTCTTGTGGAGATCCAGGTTTTTAATAGTCCTTTCAAGCCTCTCTGGAAAGAGCTTGATGCATGGGAATTTAATAGCTGGGATATATTTGTAATTTTCAGTGTTCTCGATAACGCTGGGTTTGTAAATTTATTTTTTTTGTTTGAGAAATAAAGTTTTTGACTTCCTTGCAGCGCTCTCTCCTACAAGAAAATGAGCGTTGTTTCAACTTCTTGTTTGTTTTAACCTCTAGGAAGAACATGTGTACATCTGTTTGTTCGTTTTATTTACAGCAATACATAGTTTGACAAATACCTTGCAAATATCCTGGAAAATGTCAGGCTGGGAGTTTTCTTTTGAAGCTTCAAATTTATTTTCCGGTCACACGTAGACTGAGGTTTTTGTGTTCCGAGAGAAGAATTAGGTGGCGTCGTGAACAGATTTATACCGAGCGAGGTAAAAAACTCAATATTTCTTGCCTGCTCCCTGCTAAAGGCGTACTAAATTAGTCTTTTTTCCTTAGGTTTATGCCCCGTCAGCAAGCACTGCCGACTACAATAGGGATTCACCAGGTTATCCATCCTCAAAACCAGCAGCCAGCACTTTTCCCAGCTCCTTCTTCATGCAAGGTAAGGCGCCCGCTCTCAAAAAGGAAATCTATTTTGCATACGTTTTCCTTGCTTGTATTTTAGTTTACGCGCAGCCGAGACGCGCTGGGCTCTCACCTCGCGCTCTGTAGCATTAGCATTAAAATGAAAACCCGGACGTCTTCGTGGACCATTATACCTCGGGACATCTTGTTTTGATCCAGCAGCATCCTGAATAACTTGCCAGACTTTTTGCATCTCAGAGGTTTGAGGCGTTTTTCGTGTACGTGCGCACACAGAGCCTAAACGCAAACAAATTTGCTGGGTTTTACATTAACGAGAAAGGTTTCGTCTTCCGCCGAGTTTGTCTTGTTCGCTGAGCCCCATGGGTCACCTCGTGTCGTGGGGGATCTGCGTCTGGAAGGACGGGCCAGGACTGAAAAGCAAACTTGGCTTAAAACGTGACTTAATACCCCCCCAGGAGCAACCTGCTGTGAAGTTACAAAGCTGGGGATTAATAGACTTCCAAGGATATCAAATATTTACCCTTTGTAGCGTTATCTTCTCGCCAGGTCGTATTTAAGACATAAATCTGAGTTAAACGACCACTCCAGCAGCCCCGGGAAGGTGATGCTAGAAATGCTGCTGCCGCCAGGTCGTTCCAAGTGTATAAATAAGGCAGGGCTGGAGGTGAGACATCATCATTCGTTATTAGACCAACTCCTGGAGTTTGAAAAAGTCCAGCCCACGTGCCCATCTTTCAGCTCTGCTGATGATTGTGGAAAAATTACTCCCTCCTTCTTCTCCGCTCCTTCTCCCCACCTTCTCTCCTTCTTCTCCGATCCTTCTCCCCTCCTCTCCTTCTCTCCTTCTTCTCCCCTTCTTCTCTCCTTCCTCTCCCCTCCTTCTCCCCTCCTTCTCCTTTCCTTCTCTCCTTCTTCTCTCCTTCTTCTCTCCTCCTTCTCCCCTCCTTCTCTCCTTCTTCTCCCCTTCTTCTCCCCTCCTTCTCCCCTCCTTCTCCTTTCCTTCTCTCCTTCTTCTCTCCTTCTTCTCTCCTCCTTCTCCCCTCCTTCTCTCCTTCTTCTCCCCTTCTTCTCTCCTCCTCTAGTAGAAAGTACATTTCACTGCGTTATTACACTTTCAGTTAAATGAAAAATAGGGAACCAGCCTGATAAAGGTTCGGGAGCCCTTTTTAGGCTCCTCAGGAGTTTTGAACCTGGCGAGTGATCAGGAAGAACACTGTGGCTAGGAGGTGTGGAGGCACAACTCATGAAATCCCTGAGAGGAAGAACCACGCTCCTCTGTTTTTCAACAAACAGCAACACCGAAACGACTCGGAAAACTTTCTGGGTGCGGAAGCTGAGCGGTTTTTTTCCCCTCTTTTTTTTTTTGCAGATGGCCATCACAGCAGCGACCCGTGGAGCTCCTCCAGCGGGATGAACCAGCCCGGCTACGGGGGCATGCTGGGCAACTCTTCTCACATCCCCCAGTCCAGCAGCTACTGCAGCCTGCACCCGCACGACCGCTTGGTAAGTCGGATCATCTCCAGTCGGCGTGATCTCCCTGCCTTGAGTTTATAAATAACTATCTAGGATCAGTTTTTTGCTGGAAAAAAAGGAAGTTTGGGGTTTTTTTTCATTTTCTCCAGTACATCCTGATCCCTGGTGGGAGGAAGTTGCTGGGACTGATTCCATCTATTGTATTGGAATAGAATAAAATCGGGATTAAATCTGATCTGGATACAGCTTAGGGGATGTTCTCCTCATACCACAGCTGAATTGATTATGGAGTAATAACAGTGGGTCCCAGCAATTTGGTTTTAAGTAAGGTGTAAAGAAATGGGCAACTAAAGTCATTTTTCTCAACATTACAAGTAATGTTTCTCTATTCTGAGCCTACACTTTTCATTCTGGAATGCCATTAAAAAGAAAGAATAATGAAGAGGAGTGGTTTGAAGAGAGGAAAGAGTCCGTCGCCATGAAGTCCTGCAGAACCACCTTTTTGGGGGATAGGGAGAGTTCAACTCAAGTCTCGCAAACCAAAAAATTAATTTGCAAAACAAATCTTCCAAGTCCCGCATTTAACGAGGTTAGCGCACGGCAACGTGAAATTAATAGGGAGTCTAAAGCGAAAGAAATTGCCTCAAAAACTGCTTAATCATGTCCTTGTAAAAAGCATAATGAAGGCACTAAGCAAACTTCGCGTTGCTCTGAAGTGACAGGCGTGTGTAATAAAAATGGAGCGTAACTTTTAAAACCCAATTGAGTCTAATTTGTGATCTACCCTGGTGCTCGTTCATCAAAACCAGGTGCCTTTTTCGTGGTGGCAGCTCAGGGTGGAGGTAGGACAGCCGAGTGCCTTCATGGGGCATGTCCGCAAACAGCTTCGCATCACTCCAGCTCTGAATTTCATGCTTTTTGGAACGTGGTGGGGTTTTTCTGAAGGGCTGAACTATTTATGTGATGGAAAATGGGCTGGGATATTCCACCTAAACTCCCCGAAATATTTTCCTATGTGTAGGTATCATTCTGTTCCTCCTAAATGTCAGAGATAGTGAGGACCCGTGATACCAAGTTGTAGGTGCTCAGCGCCAGCAGTGCTCATATTAATTAATTATCGCGTACGTCTGGCCTGGCAGAGGTTTCTATATTTTAAGTGACGCTGAGACAGAAGGGAGGCAGCAGTATTTTAAATGCTTCCCGCCTAATTTCCGCAGGAGCATCAATGAGAGGTCAGCAGTGTGTGGTCAGCTTGTCGGGGAGAGTTTGAGTAATTTCCGTTCCACTTCTCAGCGACCTGTAGAGAAAAGGAGCGCAGCAAAAGAAAGGAGAAAAAAAAGCTATCATGGATTATTTTGACTTTCTTGGGCGTATCTTGGGCGTATCCCAAACCTTTTGTCCGTGGCAGTCGTTGAGCAGGGGAGATGGAGTCGCTCGTGTTCCACCGCTGACCTGAGCGATCCTTTGCTCGTTGCTCCGTCGCGTGAGAACTTCTGCTCGATTTGGCCGGTTGGGTTTGGGGCTGAAGTCCTGGAGTGGTTTGTAATGACCCAAAGCCCGAAAAAGTGATTCAGACCTTAGTCACAGTCGGTATCCGTGGATAAGGAGAAGAGATTTGGGCTGTGCTCTTTACATTCTTCGAGATAACTTTCAAGTATTCAGTTACTTGGCACTTCATTAGCAAGAAAACCTGCAAAAGCAATTAAATAGTACAAATGAAGGGAAGGATGTTTCAGCCTGAAGCACCTGAGGAGGCAGAGGGCGCGGGGATGATCTTCCTCCGATGCTTCAGCGCCTTGATCCTGAGCCAAGTCCTGCCACGTGTCTCCGTATTTCGAAGGAGGCTTGGAATCAGTCTCCAAACCTTAGAGGGCTTCTGCAGGACCTCTTGTGGGCTGGGGGCGATGCTGGGACAGAGAAGAAAAGCCTGTTCAAGGGTGACAACCAGCGCTAACGTGAGCCAGGTTCGTAGTAACACAAATGCAGTGAAAAAACATCTGACCACAGCAATGTTGCATCACCGTTGAGGAGACTTTGCTGTATAGTGAATATTCTGAAGAATATAGTGTATATTCTGATGTCCAGTTCAGGTAGGAGGGTAAGCTCCCCGCTTAGTCTTAGGGCACTATTCTGCTTTTCTTAGCCGGGTGAAGTTCGACAGCGCTCAGGACCGGGTGTATACGAGCAGCCCGCTGCCTTCTGCGGTCACGATACTTCAAATATTTTTAATTTATCCTTCTTTTTCCGCAGAGCTACCCATCACACTCCTCAGCAGACATCAATTCCAGTCTTCCTCCGATGTCCACCTTCCACCGCAGCGGCACGAATCATTACAGCGCGTCTTCTTGCACACCCCCTGCCAACGGGACCGACAGCATCATGGGTGAGTCGAGGGCGGGCAGCGGGAGGTGAGGCTTCTGCACCACCACATCCATCCCCTCCAGTTCTGGCTTTGCAGGCAGGGTGAGGGATGGCGGCGCGTCCCCGTACGGGCGAGAGGGGCTCTGTAAATTAAGAGCATACCTCTGCAGACTTCACGACTTGGCAAATACCGGTTCGTATTTAAATACAGGAAATAACAACAAAAAAAAAATCAAAATGCTGCCTCGCCTGTATCTCAAAGAGCAAATAAAGCTAATTAAATAATTGGTAAATGGGGAACACATCGCTGGACACATGGTTTGGATTACACACGTGATTGCGGATTGAATGACTGCGAGCAGGACTAATGCAGTAAGAATGGAGGGTGGGTTCAAACATTAACACATGGGCATCATATTTTTCGAGGCCTCTGAACAAAGAAGAAACCAAATAGAGTCTCTTCTTAATTTGTCACTGTCTGAGAAAAACGGATCCCGTTGCAGGGTGGCGTTTCCGCGCCCAATCTTGCCCTTCCGTCAAGTTCTTCCTTCACGACGTGTCGCTGCGTGCGTCATGGCAGATCCCTCTTTTCCCCCTTCAAAGAAGACCAGTAGAGTCCAGTTCAATTCGTCTTCGCACCAGTTATGCCTCAGCTTTACAGAGAACATCTAGGGACGCGCGGTCTTGCAGAGGGACGTACACAGGGTGGCAGCCTCGCTGGTGGGTCGCGCAGCTCGGAGAGGCAGGAGGGAGAAAATCCCATCGAGGAACTCCGGGATTGCAGCGGCGGTGCTTAATTTTCTGCTAAGCCCGGGCTTTTTTTTTTTCTTTCCCGAGGTCTTAAGCAGCCCGTCGCTGAGAGTCGAGCGCCTTCGGCGTGCGCCGCGCAGCTCGGCGTGCATGAATCCCGCTCGCTGCTCTCGCTTCTAATGACGTGTTGTTTGTATGACATTATGCACTGTGACACGCAGCTTTTCCAGGAGAGACATTCTGTGCGTTTCCCCTTGAGGCACTGGTTTCACAGTAATTTTATTACCAGAGCAGTCACATAATACCGCGCTGTATATTTTACAAGAATGTCAAGCTTCCAGTTACGGGAGGGTGGCGAACTGTCACGCGGTGTAAGAAGAAAGTGACTTTTATCCAGCAATGTCACTTCCTCGTCATTTGGGCAGATCATCAGCTGCGAATAACCGAGATGGCGCAAGTTTTTCCGCTCCTCTTAACACAGCAACATAATTTCCAGGCTGCTGTGTTCAGAAAGCCCTATTCCTTCAGAACAGCGTGAGTTTTTTACTAGAATTTAAACTATAAAAAGTCTGGAATTCTCTTAATAGAAGGCTCCAGCCTATCGATTACACTCAGTGCTTTGCTAGATATAATTATCCTCGCTACGATACCGATTCCTCAAAGTTTATTCGATAATCTTAAGATTCACGGTCAGAATCCCACCCAAATTGCGTGAGGCGGCCGCGCTTCATTATTCTCATCCCTTTGCCTTCCAGGGCGGAATTATTCTACGCTGAGAACGTTTTAGGAGATAAACTAGAACGATTAAAGAGCAGCTCTTCCCCGGAGTTAGAATCAGTCCAGCAAAAGATCGTGGTCTTGCGCGATCTCTTCAGCTCTGGGAATACTCTTGGTCTCAAATTTTCACCCGTAATTGATTAATTTCTTCAAGTCAGTACTTCCTTCGATTAAAGCCCAGCTCAGGAATGTCTTGGATAATCTGTGCCCCTCCGGTTTTGGGGGAAGTTCGCTAGGGTTCCGTCCGTGTTTTGCAGAACGTGCAAAAACATCTCTCCTTGTTCGGACCGAAAGCTCCTGTCTCCCAGCGAGGATTTCCTCAGGAGGAGTATCAAAACCAAAGCAAATCTTGGCGTGTTTTCCCAGTCGCTCCGTATTTAGGAAGCTCGAGCTTATTCTTCTCCACGCAGTGACCCAGCCTTTCCCGGAGGCTTGGCACCATGACGTTACGCGTCTGTGGGACGCTGCTCCTCCTCTTCCCTTTTCCCTCAAGACCTGATGTGCTCCTCTCTCCCTTTTCCAAGCTGGAGAATTTATTGAGTTCACCCTCTTGCTTTTCCTCTCTGGTCGGCTCGCCCCAAATCATTTCCTAATCCGCAAGAACCCCCTTACCTGGAGGCAGTTGAATTTCTTCGAAGAGCCTTCAGGAGGTGGTTTTGTCGAAATCCGTTCGCATTTGCTGGATCTCCTGCAGCAACGTGGTTTGGACGGGATTTTGAGTTGCAAGACCTGCTTTCCTCCGCAAAAGCGGCGCTGGCTGCGCAACGCGGTGTATTTATCCCCACTCACCTCACTCTTTGTTAACCCTCCTGGCTGAGAAGTGAGATTTCAAATCTGGCGGCCCTTGGAATTCACGCACTTACCTTTTTTTAATATTTTCTACCTTCTTGGCTCCAGCCCTAAGGTGGTCTAAGCAGTTGGTTTAACACCGCGGTCAGACGGTTTTTGGGCTTGAATTTCTTGAGACCTCTTAGAAAAATAATTTGCCTGCTCTTTATTTTTCTTTTTACTGATGCCTTTTAAAGCCCTTACGTTAACGCTTCAGTTGAAGCCAATTTTTCTGACTAATCCCTTGTAAAATATCATCTGTCCTGTGGCAAAGCAGATGAAAATAATCTGGTTGGCCTTTCTTCTCTTACCCTCTTTTGCCTTAAATTCTGTTGCAGCTCGGTTGGTCGCAGGTCCTATCGTTGTCCTTATATGTGAAAAATCTCTTAATATTAACTTTTAAGCCGTTAAAATTGCTCTTTCACAGTTTGAGGGTGGGTTTTTTGTCTTATTTGTAACATCACGTGTCTTGATGTTTCTTTATATACGTGTACACGTTCTTTGGTGGTGGTTTTTGACCTTTTTTATGTGATATGTGTAAGTGCCTTATATATTATATATACGTATATATATAAATGCCTTAGAGTTTCTGAAGGAGAAAACCTTTCTTAAAGTGAGTTTGCACAACCTCAGCACCCTCAGATGGGTCTGTCCCCCACCTGCTGTGCGCTTGCATATTTTCCGTGCCTTTGAGCATCTCTTTTAGTTTGGAAAAAATAAAGCCGTGTGGCCAAATGCTATCAAATATTTCATGTATTTTTTAAAAAAAATGACAAGTTTATAGTTTTTTATACTCGTATCTCCAAAAACAGAGCGTGAATGTATTTGATAAACGCCTTAGCAAACAAATTAATGGCAACTAAAGATTGATTTTAAGTAATTAGCATTAAAATGAGGAGTGAGTGGAGCAGGAATAGAAGTGCCTGATGCTTTACTGTGTGTTTTTACATGGAGCCTTTTGTTTTTCAGCCAACAGAGGAAGCGGGGCAGCGGGCAGCTCGCAGACTGGTGATGCGCTGGGGAAAGCACTTGCCTCTGTAAGGAAACACTTTACTTTGGAATACCCGGTTACCGTTTTGAGAGCGTGAGCTTTGGTCGCAACGGCTGGAGTTTGTACGAAGACGAGCAGAGATCTGGTCTCACTCGCTTGGAGTTACCGCCAACAAATCAGTGCGAGAAAGGGTGGTGAAAAAAAACTTCTAGGGCAGGGTAGAAGCGGCGAGAGGGGAAGCTTTGCCCTGGTCGCCTCGCCGGGGAGCTGTGTCACTTGGTCCATCCCACCCCGCGTCTCCTTAGGCTGAACAGGAGTCCTTTGGAATTTGCCTGTAGATTTTCTCGGTTTTCCCGGCACTTT